ATCTGAATTTTCAAGTCATTTGAATATTCAAATATTCGGATGGCATCGCACAGTTCCATTTTAAAACTCGAACAACGAAATGTTCTATATAGAGAAATACACGCAAGCGCCTAATAAATATTCCACATTTTTTTACAGATTAATGTCGGAATATTGAGATTATAATTTGTGAACAATTACAAATTATGTAAAAGTTTGCTTTCTAAAATAAAAATAAAAACTTAGATGTCAATATTTTATACATTCTTACGCATGAGTGTGCAAACTGCAATAGCTGCGAGGGGTTGGAAATCCGAAATGCAGTTAATCGTAAAAATATATAGAGGCCCGGAATTCATATCGGTATTTATTGCTTCGGCTTTTTGCTGTGACAACAAAAGATCGTGTATCACCTTCCACGGGCGAGACCGAAAAATATTTTTGCCGTTATCAGATAAAACTCAAGCGGCAAAAAAATACGAGAGAGAAAGGAGGGCTTTAGCTAGCACGAATCTGCCGGGTAAGCGATTTTTCCCCGACACCCTCGGCAAAGCGAAAAGCTGCGGTGTGGAGAGAGTTCTCAGTTATGTAGAAACATTTTATATATAATCCTGTGCCGCATCGGTGAAGAGAATCTCTAAAAATCCCGTCGCGCTTCTTAAGACTTGTATTCTTATACTGGTCGATCACAAACGTCAGCGATTTTGTTCACCGCATCCTATCTTGTGGACCGACTTTCGAAAAAAAATCATTTCACATCAAGAAATCGGTGATTTCCCGAAAAAAAAAAAAACTGATACAGAAATGTTAAACTATAAAGAATATTACAGTATGAGCATTGAACGTTCATTTTTATCATTGTATTATATGTACACTGAAAAAATTGTTAACTTGATTAAATCGTTCAACTATAAATATTATTTTAATTGAACATATAGAAATATTTAAATTACATATAACATATTAAATCTAACAAAACGTGTATATATATTTGACTTAAATACTAATATATGTTTAATTAACAAACTAATAATTTAGTTGAACGATATTTAGTCGAGATAACAATTTTTTTTCAATGTAATATTGCCTGATATCGTTGTACTAATTAAAAATATAATATTGAATCCGTATACAATTTTATACTAGTACAAATTATTAAATTCTACATTTTTGTAACAGTTAAGTATTTAAAAAGTTTTTCTCCATAAAATTCATTTAGAAACATTAAAGTAGTGAAGTTTATTCAGCTAGTAATTATATGTGTGCACAATGAATACTTATACTCATAAATTCACACTGAGAAAAAAGTTGTTAACTTGACTAAATTGTTCAACTAATTATTATTTTACTAATTAAATATATATAAGTATTTAAGTCAAAACACGTTATATATTATATTTAATTTAAATATTCTATATGTTCAATTAACAAAATAATAATTGAACGATTTAATTCACAATTTTTTCTCAGGACATATAGTCTCTAAATTGTATTCCTAGAAAAGGCTACAAGAATAATTTTCATCTATCAGTACTCTAATCGCGAATATTACGATCCTTTGATTCAATACGTGAATAATGTAGAGACTGGCATTATTTAATTATCGGCGTTATTCCGCTGTATTAATTAATCAATCTTAGCTTTCAAAAGCCATCCCGATCCGTCTTAGCAATTGCGATTCCCTAACTGCGTTCCACAAAGGACGTACATCGTAAACATCTCGAGCCGCTGAGCTCTCAAGCTGCGCATTTGAAACGCAGACCGAAATCGAACGCTGAGAGAGAAATAGAGAGAAGCAAGTACACAGCTATATTTATACTAATTTGCTAAATCCATTAACTAATTCTTCTTCCAAAAGCAGATGTCTTGGATATTTTCCTGTAAAAGCAATCTCGTCGGAATATCGATACGGAACTTACCTTATGTCACACAAATAACAAATTTAAAGATTTACAAATCTCTTTCATATATGTATATCATGATTATTCAATTTAAAATCAATTATATATCTGTGCTTGCGATATACAATACAGAAAGAATTTTCTCTCAGAATTTACCCTGAAATTCATGGTAATTATGAGACAATATTATTTCTCCGATTAAATATTTAAAGTTTCTCTGATTAATTTTACCGCAATAAAAAAAAATATTTAACATCTGCTGTAATAAGATATAAAATGTTCGATTAACTTTACTATGTACATATTAATATTTGTTATTGTGATAAATATTAATCAGAGAAACTCATAAAATTTTATCAGGGTATTGGGGGATTTTCAAGGTAAATTCTAAGAGAAAATTTTCTCCATAGTAATGAGCATTTAAAGTCCATAATAAATCAATCAAATGATGAATAATTTCAACGAACAGTTTAGTATATAATTATTAGAGAACCACCGTTCGAAGAGAGACGATACAATACGGTAAGAGGCAACCCGGGGGATTGACGTTTTCGGCATCCGTCAGCAATTAATCGGCGATCGTAACGAGGGATCACGTGCTTGCGCGCGGGCAACGATTAGGCGCGCGGCTAATCCGCACGCGCTGGACCTGCCCGGAGCGTTGGCGACGCGGACAGACGGCCGTGCGATATTGCGCTAAACCGAGCAATTACCGGCCCCGTAATCCCGGTAATAGAATTCCAATATGCGTGCCAATTGGACCGAGTCCTCCCAAGTGCGGGCGTGCAAGCGTGAACCTGCAGGTTTCCGAACCCGCGCACGCCCTGACGAAAATCGTGACACGGCTCGGCCATTAGCTAGCCAGCCCCACAGTTATCCATTCTCCTATCCTATATCTCCTCTCTTTGCTGGACGCACACGTTTACCCTTATATGTGTGTGTGGCAAATCGCAATAGGGGTGTCTCTAGAGAGGACACGCTCCGAGGATCCACCTATCAACCTACCTTTTGGTTTGCACGTTTCTACATGCGACACGTGATCACGGTCACTGTTGGCACAGCTACAAAATACTTGGCTGATCCGGCGTTCGATGTTTGATGCGAGTATCGAGAGTGCGACTCGCAATGAGAATAACGCAGGGATAGAACGGAGAATATAGGCAGACATTCATATCCGGAATATATGGACCTGGGGTTATGCAGGATGTATATTGGAATAATTTCAATTTTCGACAGAGATTTGATGACGCAGATATATATATATTGTATATAAAGGGATAATCATGCGTCAATCGTCGCGTTCCATTACGTGTAACATTAAACTTGCAAAAATTATACCGGTTGCAATCAATGGAACAGAGTATCTCTATTCAGATATACGATTTTTTACCATGGATATAAAATGAAAAACAGAATTTAGTTTTTTTTTTAAATAGCACTGTATAAGAGAAAATTAAATTAATAAAAATGTAAAACATTTTCTCGTAAGAGTTTTTTTAAATAAAATAATCTCTTAAATTTTAAATCAAACTTGTATATAATTGTTTCAAAATAATCCGTTTTCAAGCTGAAATGTCACTTAAATCTGCATTATATCCATGATCGAAAAAAAATGTTTGGTTCGAGATGCACTCTGTATATTCATGTTCTAGCAATGCATAAAGCTACTTACATAGTTCTGAAGCTGGAAAAGCACGGCAAGCAGGAATGTAGAGAGGAGATAGGAGCAACTCGACAAACACGTGGAAACTATTGCACGTTTCTCGCGCGCAGGGAAGTGAAAAAATGTGAAGGTGAATGTGTTGCTGCGTCATCAACAGTCGCATCGAACTTCTGTATTGTACGCCGCGACTATGGACTTTCCACTTTTGCGCATTTATTCGGGATCCGTTGAGGGAATGAGTGGTGAACGTGGAATTTCACTCTGAATACACAAAAACAGAACCGATATTAGTGTGTAGTTTGACAATGGGCGAGCATATACAATGTTAAAATGCAGTCCTCCATTCATCTAGTGAAATTCAGATTCTTACTGCATTTTATTGCATGTTAAAAGCGCAATTTATATCACACATACACGCGCATAAAATGGAATAATTGTGAAATAATAACAGGTTTTTTTCAATTATTAGATATGGTGAATAATAATAATAAACGCATAAATTACTTTATCACCGCAAAAAGAAAGACCTATTCAAAATCGATATTATATTTAAATCATTTTTTTTTTATTTCGTCATATTATCCGATCTGTTGCTTTGGTCTCCAGAGACGGCCTCTACGTTTCTAAGACGAACAAATAACTGGTAAAGTACTTTGCACGAGGAAACTGAAGTTTCAAAAATACTGCTTAGTGCCTTTATCTTATCACGACAGAAACGCGTCGACCCTCCCTGAGCTGAACAGGGAACTGCGAAACACAGAACTAAGAGTTCGCGATCAATGTACGTGTGTACGGGTAAGGGTCGAGGATTCTACGAGAGGATATACGAGGAGAGCCCGAGGATAGCAAAAGGATAGCTTGCTGTTAATTGGACCAGGTCCGATGATGTCGCCGTGCGAATTGTCGGTCACGAAATTACCCCGATATCTTCTCGCGTCGTCGTTTAGAGCTCGTGCGGTACAATCGGACGCCGCTATACACGGATTTTCTTTTCCTCGTGCTACCCCGACGACCTGAAGGGAGCCCAATTACTCTGGCGAGACCCGGTAAGACCAACCGACGAGTTTTCGTCGGGACGAAAACCGCAGCGAGAGACGAAATAAGACACGAAGAATAATAAAACCAAGCGCTCTGTGTGTGTACGACTGTGTCTAGACAGTCTTCCTTTTTCCTTTCTCTATTCGCCACGGCAAAGCTCGCGAAAGTGTTGCACGTCTGATGTAAATTATCGATTTTATTGGAGCGCGAGATAAATTTAACGCCGATTCATTGCGCGATTACATTTAATTGCCTCCAATTAAATCGCCGTTCCAATTAAAATCGACACGAGCACGGAAGGTTCATTACAATTTATTGGATCGATGGCAGCGGCCTTCTCACCGCCCTTCTCACCGCCCTTCTCTCTTTTTCGTTTTCACGCCGTAAATTTGCAAAGAAAAGGAAACCAAAGATGTCTATATGCTTTTTTTTTAAATGTATTTTTAAGATATCCTTTCATAAAAGCCACATCATTGTATTTTTCAATTTTGCTCTATCTATGTGCTTGCATAGAAAAGTTGGCAACTCTTGTCAATACATATTACGAGTTCATAACAATTTAATATAAATTCTATAACTGCAATTAGGTTTAATTCCGACATCGCTATTACTTTTATATAAAAACAATATTTATTTAAAATAAATTGAGTAAACGTATGTTTTGCATTTCACAGAATATTATCTTGCTGAAAAGTCCCTATTATCTCTACAATAAAGATTTAATTCATTTCGTTTGAAAAATTCGCAAGCACATAATATGTGCATAACGCAAATATAAATATATCCTTGAAGTATCAAAAGAGGTTCTTAGGAAGTAAAGTTCATATATTACCACGAAATGCGCACATGAACAGGGAAGCATTCACTGACTAGTCGGCGGCGATCCGCCGCTATCGTACTGACTCTTGTTTCTAAGTAAATAGCCAGCGAGGAAGCTTATAGGATCAGCAGGTCTCTCTTTGGCTAAACAGGACAACGCTTGTAGCAATATGGGCACTACTGTCTGGTCCAAATACTGTCTGGTTGGAAGAGATTGCACTTCAACGCGGGATTTCTTTGCTGGTACGCCAGACATATCGCCATCTTTATCCATTCCTATTACTTTCTGTAAACAAAATGTGTAGAATTTATTGATCGATGAGCAACATTATAAGCTATCGTCTTGAATAATTTTGATTCCTGCCACCTTTAACCAATCAACTTCTATATTTAACGATTCCTGAATCACAATATTAGCTTTAAAGCAACATACACAAGCTAAATTTAATTTACTAGTTAACTCCAATGTTAAATGTAATTAGATTCAATACACTTATACAAGTTACAAGCAAGTTGAGAGAAATGTTGATTTAATTATTTCACAAATGGATAAGAGTATAAACGTGTCCTATATTAGCAATAATAATATGGTTTTGACACAAGATTTGCAATCAACCGGCAGCTATCAGATAATAAATGATAATGATGAGCACCAACCTAACCTCACTTTTGCTCCGCAAACGCGCGCATTTTCTAAACGCGCTTAAATTAATTCAGCAGAATTCTTGATATTCCTCAGACAAAATAATTGTTTCGCCGATAAATTGAAGTTAGGAATTTACTTACATGAGTCGTCTCGGACACTGCATTGGCGATGGGTTGAGCCGGCGTCGATGCTTCCGTTCGTTCTTCGGTTCCGTTCTCTGTCATGGCATGAAAGCAAAACAAGCAAATGATCATACATTGCATTAGTGCGAGACTCTGCGTTGAGTCAGATCATCAGACAGGGGCCCGAAAGTGCAAGAAAATAGAAAATAAATACGTACCACCGCCGGACGCCATCGTGTAAACAACCGTCCCTGCTAACCGACATTGAACTACTGCGCCGCGATAATACGTTGCTAACATCATGCCGGTAAAGTTGTCATCGTTCGTGGATTGAAGAGAGAGAGAGAGAGAGAGGCGATTGTAGATATGAATTTAAGAAGCGCGCGCTAAATCATTTATAACAAATTTAAAAACATATATTTGTTGAAATATATTAGAATCATATATAAATAATGTATAAGAGCATATATTATTTTAAATAATATTATTATATATAATATTGATTTTTTCAACTATTAGTGAAATGTATTATATATATTTAATATAATGTATACAATTATATATTATATGTCATTTTTAAATTATTAGAAAATTATATACTGTATAATTATCAATATATTATATTCAATATAATATATAATTATATACTTAGTTTGAGACTTTCGAGAGGCCTTCGATACATGCGAGTGCGTTCGATATTCGATACATTCGAGAATCGACCTAAGATATCCCTTTTTCATAAAAGGGAACAAATCAAAATTATATACTTTAACCGTGATTAATAAATAAAATAATCGTAATATTATTAATGTTTTGCTATAAAATTAATCTATGATACATTAAAGTAACGTATGAATAATAAATTGAAGTAATCAGTGCATGAGCATGCATTATTTAATCGATATATGCATGTCTAATTATTTTTGTTCGCGCAAATAAAATCCGATAAAATCTCTCCACCCAGATGAAGCTGAAGATAGAAAGACACAAGTCAGCGACTGTTTTAAGATTTATTTATTTAACGCAAAGTTAGACGCTACAACTTTGGTACAAAAACATAAAATAGTGGCTGATTGAGAGGAAACGATACACTGCGAGCGGGTCCTCGAGTTTCTCCGCGAATGCGGAGGATGATGTTTTGCGCGCGTTTTCTCCCTTTATGCTTTTTTTCCATTATCAGACAAATACATCGCGATCCCGTTTCCGTTACGGATGCGGGGATCGAAAAAAAGGATAAGAAAGGAACGCAAAGGAAACGCTTCGAGTCTTACAGGCGACGAATAAGGTGAGAAGGGTGGTATACGAGCTCTCGAAGAACCGCGTTCGCCGTCGTACGTATAAAAGAACAGCCAAATGCTTTCAACGCATATATCAATCAAGCATACACAAGCGAGCGACACGCTTCGCGGCGTCTCTCAAAAAAGTAACATCGAATCCTGCAAAGAATTACCACACAATATACGTCGAACACGCGACGAGCGAACGATGGTCTCGAGGGTGCTTGGCAAGAAGAGTATAACAAAAATAAATGGCAAATTCATTATTGATTATTAATTTTAAAAAGATGCTAGAGTGTGCGAAGAAATATATGAAACAATCATTGCGAGAAGTGTGATTAAAGCAATCTGTGGACGCAAGTTCTCAGTCTTCGAGTTATTGTGTCTTATCAATTGTTCGTCAGCTGAAAAAACGAAACACATTTATAATGTTTAGCCGATCAATCGTTTCATCAGCAACGCTTCTTGCCAAGCACCCTGGACCGCTTAACATAACGTTATCACCTGTGCGACGTCGCGGACGTCCACTTCGCTTATATAAGACAAAACGATGAGCCGCGACCGAAATAGCGCGCGGACGTGATCACATCACTATATATATATATATATATATATATATATATATATATATACGAATGCATTAATATCGTTATCATTATAATCATATCGTCGGCCTGTGCCGACGCTTATTTATTAGCTCTGGTTAAATTCGGAAGCGATTCAAAGCGACAAAGTTATTTTTTTTCGCGGGGGCGAGTTAAGTGATTAGAACGTGATACTATATAAGTCGTAAAGGGTGACTTGGGACGATACGGCTACGTTAATTACGGTAAGAGCGCGATCGTAACATATACACGAGACACGAGGCTTTTTTGCGCAGCCTTTTAAAATCACATCGATGAGTAAAAGTGCGTCGGCGTGTCGAGCCGCGGCCAGTTTAAGAGTGGCAGAGGGTAGGAATTCCTCTGCGAAAGCAGAGGCGACTCACGAGAACGAAGCACCCCTATTGAACCTTTATTTGAGCACGAGAACTCTTTGTGCATGTTTTTAACTTCAATGAAATAATGTAGATAAAAACGATGTTACTAATTACAATTTGAGATGATAACGATGTTACTAATTACAATTTACAAATTCAATCAACCTCGAGATGCATCGAGAAAATTAATATCCCAAATAAATCTCTCTGTTTTATCTCTTCAATAAATAATTAAATAAATCTAATAAATTGGAGAATTAAATTAAGGCTAAAGTGATAGAGAAATATACATATAAATGCAAAATAATTTGTTCAAAGCTTAATTAAAGGTGCTCCTTCGCCCAGTCGCCCAACTGGGAGTCGGCTCGTGCATCGTCTCAGCAAACAAATGCGACACCTAGAAATACCTACTTACAACGTATGTATAATATATAGTTAGCATATATATAATATATATTTATATTATTTGTATGTATATATCTAGAAGTAGTAGTATCGTGATAAAAACGAACTATGAGACACGGCGCCATGATCGCGACGTAGCGGGATGTCGGGATGCACAATCCGAGAATGTTGAAGAAGCATCATTCGAAGATCCAACGAAGAACAAACCTGATCGATCCCTTAGAATTTCGCTTTTTTTTTTTTTTTTTTATTTTTGAGGAAACGATCCGTCCCGACCTCTCGCCTCGTCGCAAAGATACAAGGACGCCTTCTCGCGACCATCTGTCCTCGTCTTACGAGCTATCTACGATTAAATCAGCTTGTATATTACTCGAATCGCTTACATTTGTTAACGATCATCGTCGCGATATATCAGAATGAATCTTATCGGTACGTCGTAAATCGATCGAAGAAGATTAGCACGGGGGGGATTAATTAGATGTTTTACAGCGGACTAAATATTTATATCATATCATATATAGGACGACAGCAAGTGTGGTGTGGCGTGTATTGCGTGCACGCACCAGCGCGTGTTACGTGGCGATAATGTAGTATATAATATGTTGGATTTATATGTGGCTGGTCTGCTGTTTATACCGAAGCGTTCCCTCGATGGCTTTGCCGCGTTGTTCTTCCTACGGACAGTCGATCGGCGTTTATTAAATGTGTATACGAAATTTTATTTCTTCGAGCGAGCGATCGCGTAAATGTCTCGAATCGATCGTCTAAAATCTAAATGAATTCTACCTAGAAAGGACGACGACGACGACGACAATATGACGAAAGATGAGAAGCGACGACGTACCCTATCAACTTTGCTCTCCGCGACGTCGAGATACTCAAGATCGCCGATCGTTAAAAAGGGGACAGAGAGAGTGGGGACAGACACAACCTTCGTTACGAAATTATAAATCGTACAGTATATGTATATAGTATATGTATGTCTATATATCTCGTACGCCCGCAGGGAGCGGCAGTGTGGCACAACCATGACTCAAAAAGCGACCAACTAATCTCATATGTAGGTGTGTGTGGGTGTGTATACGTGTATATATATATATCGTATATACGTTTTTTTTTCTCCCCGTTTAAATATGCAACTCCTGCGACGATTGTAATCTAGAATTGTATACCCCGGATATATATCAGAAGACCCCCGTTAAAGCCACCGTCGCCGAGAGCACCATCATCCGGGCCGCGTCTCTGCCGCGGCTGGGCGTCCGCGAACACGCGACTTCCGGTTGTGTGCTCGCTTTCCTACAGGACTGCCTCACAGCGGCAGCTGCGAGCCTCGAATTCCCGCGTACACGTTCGACGACAGAGAATCTCGTCTCTTTCATCGAAATATTTCGCAATAAGCACGCAATGATGATCAATCAGCAAGTTACGTCACATCGTTAAGTCACGTTTCATATCGAGAAAGTGTCAAAACGCAAATCTCTGTAGAGCAGTATAAAAAAATTTCAGTCGCCGTCACAACTAAACGTGTACGAGGAGCTCCGGGACTCGCGAACGACTTGCGAACGAAGCATGAGTTGACCTTACGAATCTCTCTGTGCCTCCTTCGCGAAAGGGCAGTAGATTCAGACAGTCTTGAGTCTGGCCTTCCTTTAGATGTGCGTAATCGACCGAACTGGTTCGAAAAATTCAAGTATCAAAACACAAGGCAGTTTCAAAGGTTGGCCTTCCTCAGGATCGATAGTTAAACGAACGTGCTCGAGGAAGTACGAGGGAAAAAATGGAAGGCCAAGAAATGGTTTATGATAGATAAAGAGAGAGAGAGAGAGAGAGAAAGGAGAAGATCGCGCGCGATTTGGTCGTAAGAGCGAAGGAGGCAATTTCTTTTTCGCAAGGCGGATCTTTTTTGCCGGTAGTCACGAGATCTCGATGATGATAATCAACATGCGTATACACCTTACACGGTAATCGAATCTATCTACTCGCGACGACGTCTAATTTCTATCGTAAATCGTTGCAAATTGGACCGACGACAGCACCGGGGGAAGAATTAGCGTGCGCTTCATTTCCGCGTCTCTCGGCTGCTTTCCTCGCGGCCGCCGGCTTTTCAGAAAGAGAGAGATGCGGAAGATCACGGAAGATGATGATTTACAGGTTACACTGCCACAGTATCGTAGGGTGTGAGGAGTCCCCCGTGACCGCCGTGGGGGCTGCCGGTTTGCCGGCCGGGAGCTTCGTTTCTGCAACAGGAATTTGCATTTTTCATATCCGACCACGCCGTCACTTTTCACATTCCCTTCATTCCCTTCAACTTTAACAAAACACTCTCGCGTGCAGATATCTTTTTCCTAATTTTAATGTTAGAAAAATAGAAGCATTTGCCTTCATCGTTATAGTAACTCCTACTCTGCGAATTCGGAGAGTCTGTTTAGCGCAGCAAAGAGTAAAGAAATTACAAATTTACACAAGAGATCTGCATGCGAATTTATATACGACGAAAACATGCGTTATAACAATAGCAAGAGCAGCGATGACAGCAACGATATAAAATTATGTCATGAATAAGTAAAATAATAAAGATGACGATCGTAGGAAGACGCATATCAGTCATTAGTAGCGTCAGCGGCTGGTAAAGCGTATTCAAAGCAAGTGATACAATAGCAAGCTGTTAATAACTGCATGTTAATAACTGCGGTGGAAATATGATTAGCATTTGAAACTCGTATTTTATACCACTCTATCGCATTCTACTTTCGAATTAGTTACACGTTTACACAAGACACTATTCAAAGCTACATGCAAACACATGTTGTATTAGTAAGCGTTCTCGATTGGAGACATGTCCGTAAGCAACGTTTCGAAGGGTCGTCTACTCTGCTCGTCGCAAAACAAATCAGATAGCCGAATTTCAAATGGGATGATGAAAATCAGCGAAAAATGGTGGTATGATGGACGCATCTCAAAAGCTCTTGACATATCTTTATAACGTTTGTACACCCTGATTTGTGATTAAGTTTAACGAACTTACGGCTTCCTGCGTAATTAGTCATGAAACAAGAAAAGATCAGATGTACATATATTAAATAGTTAAATGATGAGATATTCGAGGGTCTCTCTTCGAAAGTCGCTAGTGAACCACCGCGGATTCGTTACCAATAATTCAATCGCGCGTGCGAATAAACTCTCGAGTATCCGAATAAAAGGTATACGTCGAGGATCAAGAGGATCGATCGGTAGCGTAATCCTATGAAGAAGAACGCATAGAGATGAATCGGATAGCGGTCGAAGCCGCAGTGAGCGATAGTGAAACGGCGCTCAATTCGGAAAGTACATCGCGTAATTTTTTTTCTCGCAATAATATACCGGTAATGCCCCGTTCTCGCGCAAAAATTGCGCGAAAATCGGCAAGAACGGTATATAATCGTCTGTTCACACCGTTAATCAAGCTCACTCGCGCTCTACTGACCTCTCTATGAGTTTACGCATCTCCTCGGTGGTCATGCCGTCCTTGCCGCGAGCATTCACTGAAATAGAAAAACACACGGCACGATTGACACAACGATTAAACTACTACGACAACACGTAGCATGCAATTCGTGAAAGCTATATAAATGATTAGGACTTGAAAAAAAATATAGAGATAAACACATATAGTCCACGCGGCGAGTCTTCTCCATTCACGACTCGCTCGCCATGCGATACGATCCGCATAATGCGAGCCGTCGTACGCCTAACAATGCCTAGTGCATATGAAAAACGAGCATCAGTAGTAGTAGGGCTGAATCGGAACGAGATCTTTTTTTTTCAAGAGAAAGCATGTCCCTGGATCATAAATAAGATCCGAACGAGGGAAATCGAGGACTCCGTTCGGATCTCTTTGAGTCTCCAGTTTCATGATCTTCCTCTTGTTCTACTCGTTATCCGATCTATCCCACGAATCTTTCTACTGACCGCCGTAGTTGCGGTTGACAAGCTGATCGCGATCGCACTCAGCCTCGCTGATCTCATTGCTCTCCTTGCTATCGTTGAAGCTGGAGTTGTTCTGATCCTGGTGATTTCTCGGTGGCGGTGGAGGCGGTTCCGGCGAGCCGGAAATGGGAATGTTGCGAGCCGAGCCTACGCTACGACGTCCGACTGATCCGCGAGATCCGTAATGATCGTAAGGTGCGCCGTATTGTGATCCGTACTGCGATCCGTACTGGTCTTCCTCGGGAGCGCAATTAGCCGGATCGTCGTATTCGGGCGAGAAGACGTTGTGAGTACCGCTGCCGCCTCCTTGAGATGGTACTCGTGAATAGCGACCATTTTGACGAGGCTGTGAAAGAAATCAATCGCAATTTTTATAAATTATAAATTATATAAATTGTATATTTATAAAATTTATAATTTATAAAATAAATTGTTCCTAAAAAAATAAAATAATAAAATAAGAGAGGTATAAAGTACCATAGATTGAGATCCAGAACGACTGTGAGCGGAAGCATTAGTTGGATGTCCTACAGGTGGTCCCATGGTGCCGGAATGGCCGTTTCCTGGATGAGGGAAGGTCTGAAATTGCATGGCCTTGCTCGGATCCATTTCCTCGCGGAATCCCAAAAGGTGGAAGGTAGCGTAAGGGCAGATCTCGTCCTCCATACCTGCAAATGGGCAATCAACCAGGGTAGACTCTGCTGATATGAACAAAAAATCTACGAGACATGATTTGAATGATAAAGATTGCTTTTCGCGTGTAAAGTTCCAATTATGACAATTGTGTTGAGCTTAACTTGACTGGAAATAGAACTCGAAAAAAAATTCTAAGCAATCTTTTCCTCTATTGATTTTACATGCTACTTCTATTCAGATTGAAACGAGCAAAAACAGTTTTTTACTCACTTTTACGTTTCTTCTTTCCTCGATTCTCATTCAACTTTAAATTATTAAATCTTCAATAATTGCTCACATGCTCATATTAAAAATATAATAATAGAGATTCGTTTTTATTATAACGCCCGGTCGTCTTATCAATTAATCACGCAATATATAAAACAATGTTATTTTTAAATTAATTGATCGATGGAATTGTATTTATGTATATTAATTTAAAATTTTATATATAAACACAATAAATCAAATCTCTGAATAAAATCTAAATATATCGTTTTAAAAATATCTTTTTATTCATTTAAAACATCTGAAATCGATATGACGATGACGAGCACAGAGAGATATTTCTTCTAGACCTTTTATCCCAGAAAAAGACAATGAGTAATAAATAAAGGTATAAATTCTTTCCTATGTGATTCGTGTTATTTGTCGGCGTGCTATGGAGCGCAGGCATGCGAAAACGTGCAACACTTAATCGTGCCATTAAAGTGGCACGATGAGGTTCATGGAATTTTAAGGGGGACTTACGAAGACCAGCAACATCGCCGGCTCCGGCCTGCGATTATCGATCTCATAGGACGATCGGACGAATGCCGGACGTCCCCGTTAATGAAAATGACTCTTTTTACCAACCTCTATGCGGGAGACCTTCTGCGCTGCCCATACGTGGTGGTGGCGGGCATCTCCTGTTGGGCGCGTAGTGACTCAATTCCTCATACATGTGTCGTCTTGGGTCCCACGTCGAGTGACTCCTTAACGAGCTAGTTCCACCTATCGAACACATACTACAAAGGTCGTACGACACGCTGGCGCCTATCAAGATTCATTCCAACTGACCAACTGTTCTCTTCGGAGGATTAGAGATTCTGGGGAGGGTGTTCCTTTTTCTCTCTTTATCTTTTTTTTTTTTTATATGTACGAATCGATGTAATCGACACTCGTTAGGCACCAACGGCGTGGTAAGCGCAAACAAAGAGAAACGAATGTTATTTTCGCTGGAGGGACATATACATCTCGACTTAACGTATATAAGAACATTTGGAAGCAAGAGGCGAACGTAAAAGAGAAACTGGCAATGTATCGTGTATATGATGGTTTCTGTCCGGTCTGAGGATTGTGTGACACTGGTCGGGAGCCTAACAATGTATGATATATATATATATATATATAAATATGCGAAAAAATGTGTGTAATTCCTGAGAAAAGATGAAAGAAGGAACTATCGTGCCGATGCGACAACAACTACACAAGTAGTAGTCGAAACTGGTCTAGGTAAGTGTTGGCAGTTGTGGCTTACTTATAACTGTACCTCGCTTGATACGATCGCAGGTGTTGTAGTTGGAACCGGGTACGGGTGGTAGCTTGCGATTCGGTGGCGCGATGTATCCCAGTTCGTCGCGAAGATCGGATCTGCGTTTATCCAGGGTAGCGCCACCAACACCGGTTTGCTGATAGACTACATCATCTATAATACAGCGAACAATCTAATAATTGTAAACGCGCGTACATCTTTCAGTTTTATTATTATCATTCATTGATATAGATCACATTTGATTATGCCATCACCCACGCTTGTGAAATAAAGGGAGGAGGAAAATTAAGAGAGCGGAATAACTGAAATTCGAGAGGATTGCAAGACTAGGGTGGCCGACGCGTGAATCAATCGTCGGGAAATTATTGTAAATTATCACGAAATAGTATATTAATATTTTGTATATAAATTATTGCATTTAAATTATTGCTCGCGCGAAATTATTTGCATAATTTCCCGATGAATCTCCACCGTCTTGAAGCGACTTATCAGGTAAAAGTAATATAAAAAAGATTTGTATACATTGTCCCTCGTAATATTTCTCGTCGGCTGAAGAGATACCTCGCAGCCGCGTCTGTTCTGGACCTCGAGTTCTCCTCGAGAGCGCCACGCAAATCACAACTATTCCTACTATTATGACAACGACCGTCGCGCCGACCGGCACCACCACGTTTACGTCAAGCCAGTTGGGTAACCATGGGAAGTAACGTCTTACATCCGCGGTATTGTCATTACCGCCATTACGTACGGGAGGTGCGATCGTGCCTGTTCGAGGAAAGAGATGGAACGAAGAAGATTAAACGAATGGAACGGTTACCTTTATCGCTACCGTGTCCCTTCCCTCTGAGTACGCAGGTCACGGTGACGGCAACGATTATAACGAGAATGGCTGCTACCACCGGCACGACCAGATTTAAATTAGCCATGAAAATTTTCATCGGGTCCTCATCGTTGCCACCACCGTTCACGTCCGGTAGCTCGCGGGCCGGTGCAATGGTGCCTGGAACAAAAAATGTTTCGGCCTTAATCCAGCCACCATTGGCACCGGCTACGAGGCGCCGCTGCGAACGTCAGACAGACTCATACGAACATACTCACCGCCAGTCACCGTCAATGTCGCGAATTCGTACTCGGCCACGGCAAAGCCGGCATTATTGTGAGCCGTAACGCGCAAATGATACCAGCTAGCGGGATCCAGATCTAATACTATGAAGTTACCGTTCGACGGCTTGACGTTGTTCGAAACCTGATTCCATTCCTGCTGATGCCTAAAGAGATATGCACTTTTAACTACCGATTTCGAGATGAAATCGTATCGAACTTGTCAAGGATTTTATCTCTTCATCTTACTTCTTTTTGTGTTCAACAACAAAATACAACATAGGGCAGCCACCGTCCGACCAAGCGCTCAAGTGCAGAGTGATGCTGTTCGTGGATACCTCGATGAATCTCGCTGCTTCGGGAATGATTGGTTTAGAGCCCTTCGTGCGCGTGTTTAGAATATCCGAAGGATCGCCGATTCCAATTCTGTAAATTATTATTATCATGTATAAAATCTCTCATCGTGCACAGTTAGTTTACAGTTTTAATTAAAAAGTTACCCGTTATAAGCCGTGACGTAAATCTGATATCGAGAACCGCACCACAGATTCTCAAGAGTATACTTTTGTGCCGTTGAACTAATCTGAACAGTTTCCCAGTCGCCGAATTCAGGTTTATAGTGAATCGTATAACCGTGAATCGGAGCATTGTCGGTCGGATGCTGGCGTAATTTCATCGTCAAAGAATTTGTAGTAGTGGCAGTAAGTGTGACCTGCGGCGAATGCGGAGGAGCTGCGAATATAAAATTAATCTCAATATAATAAAATCGACAATTAAAATTAACAGATAAAATTATATCATGTTTCGCGAAATATTCACATACCGTGTACGACCAATTGATGAGTCACAGTATCGTGTCCAAAGGAGTTTTCCACGTAGCAAGAATATTCTCCGGCGTCCGCGCGGTCGACTTCCTTAATAAACAGTGATCCCTCAGGTAATTGCCTCAGTCGGTCGCTTGGTTGAAGAGTCGCGCCTCGTACTTTCCACGTTACTTCCGGTGCAGGCACGCCAACGGTGAGACACGGCAGTTTTACGTCTTCTTTGTATGTCGCGGTAAATTTGTCGTCGAATGATGCGATCTTGGCTGGTACTGTAAAAATATGCATTAAATATAAAAATTAGAAACATTTTTTAATTCACACGATCAGCTATTCATTAAAATCATAATAAAGTTGCAAATTTAATTTTATTAATTTTAATTAATTAAGATGTGAATTTTTTGAGCGAATTAAAAAATGAGAAATTACCTCGAACGCTTGGACCCAAGGTCACAATCTTAGAAGCTTCACCTTCGCCGATATTTGTGCTGGCAGTTACCCAAAATTCATATCTCAGTTGTTTGTCCAATCCAGATGCTTCGTAAGTGAGTTGATTTGGCAGTACTTTTTGGCTAGTTGATTCTTCAGCATTGTCAGCTTTCGTATAAACGGTATACTGAGAAATAACTCCGTTAGGCTGGCTAGGTGGTCTCCACGAGATAAGAATAGATTCCGCGGACATGACCAGAGCTTTGATAGCGATTGGAGCTTCGGGTGCTGAGAAAATTATTTAAGAAGAAAATTAATTTTATTTACTGAAAATAATTATTACATTTTTTGTATTAACAATAATTTTCTTGTTGTGATAAAAGCAGCAAAGTCGTTTCGCTGTTTTTATAACGATACAAAATAAAAGGAGCAACGATTTCAAATATCTTTGCATATGTTGTGAGTAGTTTTTAAAATTATAAAATTACCATCTTGTTCGGTCTGACAGTGAATCGGTGCGGATTTAACGCCATCTCCACCGGAAGTGTAAGCCAAAACTTGCATACTGTAATTCGTATACTTTTTAAGGCCATGCAAGATGGTTTCGCTGGAAGACGTGATCTTGGTATCCTTTGAATTTTCATCGTACCACGTCTCGGACGGTCCATAGATAACCTGAAATAAATATTTAAAGACGCTGTTGCATAAAAGTTTGCTAAATATCCACTCTTCTCGAAATTTACTCACTTTGTAGCCAGTGATAACACCGTTAGCCGCGCTGAGAGGTGGTGACATCCAGGACACCCTGATAGTTTGAGAAGTGAGAGTCGTGCAGGTGGTATCATGTGGTGGTTGCTCGGGTACGCCTTCCGCGGTATGCTGTCTACGTTCTTCGCTCATCGGTCCGGAGCCGACCTTGTTGAATGCCTGAACGACTACGCCGTATTGCGTGTAGGTCTTGAGATTAACGATCTGCAGATGATGATGTTCCTTTCCGTCTTGGAGTTCCTTGGAGAACTCAACAGTCTCAAACATGTACGGTTTGTCTGCTGATTGCCTGTATCCAACGTAGTAACCAAGAATCTCGCCGTTCCAGTCCTCGCGTGGAGGTGGTTTCCATGTTACCTGAGGAAATGTTCATTGCAATAAATATTTATTATTGTTGTTAACGTATTCTGAAACAATTGCAATAGATTCTGATCGTTACCTTGAGCGTATGCTCATCAAGAGCGTCCACCTTCACCGAAGTTGGCGGACCAGAGGGTGCTTCTTCGGCGGTAATAATAGTAACCATGTCGGACGGATCGGATGTACCAATTTCATTCTCAGCGACGATTCGAAGATGATATGTAGTTGCGGGTCTCAGATTAAACACTCCAGCTACATTCTGTTGCGAGCCAGGCACGAGCACCCTGTCGATATCAGTGTCCCAGGAACCTTTGCTAATTTTGTATTCAATGACATATCGCTTGATAGGGCTGTTTCCGTCGTAAGGTGCGGCCCATGATAATTGCACCGAACGTCCTGATTTATCCAATACCTTGAGACCGTATGGAACTTCCGGCACCTCTATAAAAAAAATGGTAGAAATGAGATTTAAGTACTTCGTCGAGATCTGTTGACATCGCATTACTACATAATTACATGAACCAACCTTGTACGATCATGTTGATGCTGGTATCGTCGCTCCCAAAGGCGTTCGTGGCTACGCAAGTGAACAAGGCAGAATCGCTTCTCTCGGTTCGTTTGATGCTCAAGTCGGACAGTACGCCATTGGCTAAGATTTCTTCGCGAATAGTGTAACGAGGATCGCTTTTTGTGTCTAATCTTTTGTTATTCATATTCCATAAGATTCCAATTGGTTTCTCTCCTTGCGCCTCGCACTGCAACACAGCCGGTTCTCCACGACGAGCAGTCTGATTTCTTAATTTAATTTCAAATTGAGGAGGAGCTGAAAAAATATTGCAAAGAAACGGTATGCAAAACGCGAATAATTTAATATTAAATCTTGTGAAAGACGTGTAAATGCAAAGTACCTTGAACCGAGATAAGAATAACAGCCGACAAGCCTGATCCAATGCCGTTAACAGCCTCGCAAAGATAATAGCCTTCGTTTGTCTTTTGGATGTTATTAATAGACAGAGTGCCATCCTCTACACTAATATCAGGATTGCTCAATTTCAAGTCGGTGTAATCTCCCGGCGTATCCCCTGTAAAATAGAATAAACGCAATTAACGCACGCTTGAAAAACCTTCCATATATTTGTCAAATTTCGGGGCCGCACTCACCAGCAGCTCTCTTCCATGTGACTTGAGGCTTGGGGAATCCGTCGGCTTTGCATTCGACTCTTGCGTCAGATCCCTGAGCAAATGCCTTATCAGTGGGCTCCAGAATCCAACGAGGAGGTACTGTTACAGAATACACAGATTAGTCACGTTGCACTAATCGAAAAATATGGAATTTGCAGTATCCAGGAGCCAGTCGCTTGTAAAAACTCGAGTCGTTTACTCTTGAGAATAATTCAAGTTATGGTAATATAATAATTTTTTTTATATAAACTGCACTCAAATATTACAATTATATTGTTGAATATTTATATATTATAATAATTATTATTTCTCTCTTTTTGTAAAGTTTATAAAGTATAAAATACTAGTAGTAAAGTTAAATATGTAGAGTCAACAAGCAAACTTGAAATTCGAAAAATAAAAAGATTTGTTTATCGAAAAAATTCATAAAATTATCGACTAAAAATGATATTACTGATATTTTTAATTGTTATATAATATCAACGAGAGAACTTGAATTATGGTAATAAGTTTTGTCGCGTGCAGGACAAAACGCGACACGCTCCCGCTACTGCGGTGAATAGAGTATAGTATAGCATGCGGGATTCTGAAATGATTATAGGGGTGTCTTATGCATGAAGAGAAAGAGAGAAAGATAGAGAAAAAGCGAGATAGAGAGAGAGAGACGTAATGCGGGCAGAAAAAGAGACTACTCCAGCTCTGAGAGATTTCAATGGCAAACATGCACGAAGCGTTATTATAAATTTTTACTCGAGCACGGTGCACCATGCTGTACCGCGTTTACGAATAATACTTGATGTTATATGCTTGTTCAAGTATCAGTGCATGCATATTAAATGACTCTTTACTAAGCTACATACGCGTCTACAAAATGAACAAGGCAAGACGTGTGATGAGATGGCGAGGGTTCGAGGAGGGAGAAAAATGTGTTGGGGGAAATTCATTCATGGATAGGGCGTGTGAATATGAATTTATCAAGGGGTTGAGAATATTTCTGAGATGCGGCTGGTTGGATGGTCGGTCGGTCATCTTAGAACAAGGACGCGTTCTTTAGCGCGATGGGGGTACGGTGAGGTATAAATCGACACTCGAATATAACGACACGAATATAATATGCAACTCGCATGTGTCAGATGCCTATGCAATTCTGCGATCGCAAAGTAGTATTTAGATTCGTTCGTGTTACGGGAAATGCTGGCGAACGCGTTTGTGAAGGATGTATATAGAAAACGCGATGAAATTCGCGTGCGTAAGGAAGATACATCCTGTTGTGCGTCGCGTCATTTTGCTGCAGGAATGATCGAAGCCAACGTAAAAAGTTCGCAGAAGAACAGCTGACGATGAGAGCAAAATAAACGAGGAATAAAGGCCACCGGCTCGGCAATAAGCTATTGATTTTTGGACCACGAAGGGCTTCGGATTGATCTTTGCTCGCTTGAAAAAATCCAACAGATACATAATGAGGAGAATTACAGACAAAACTAAACGTAGATATAGAGACAAGAGGCAGAGACAAAGAGTATGAAAAGAAAATGGCAAGACAGTGAGAGAGAGAGAGAGAGAAAGAGAGACAGAAAGAAAGAGTACGCGAGAAGGTTCATCATCAACGGTGACGAAAGCAATCGCGTTGCGTACAAATTGAACCCGTGGAGCGAGCGCCGGATCAACTGAAATTTTCAGAAAAGCTTTTATCGCCTGCAGGGAAAAACGCACGATCAGCTTCACAGCAACGATGAATAAGATGCAATTCCAATCACAAGCCTGCGCGCTCATAATAATACTTTGGCGGCATCCGCGCATGGCTGCATTTTCATTCCAAAACTTTTGCTCAACCATCATTATCAATTATCATTATATATCGTGTCATTCTCAGTGCTCCGTTCTTTATTCTGGACCTAACCGTGGACTCGTAAGGTTGCCTCGTAGACCGTCTTGCCTGACCGATTACTAGCGACACACGCATAACGTCCGTCGTGATCCGGCGTTACCGGCTCCATCAGTAGGATACTCGTCCTTGGGCCGAGTGTCCCGATGTTGTATCCCATGTACTGCGACAACGATTCGCCCTCGTGGGTCCAGGTAATCTCGATCGGCGTGTCGCCAACTGGCACCATGCATGCCAATTGGGCGGCCTGCCCGGCAAAGATCGGTTGATCTCCAAAATCGAACGGACTGATTCGTGGCAGGACTGCAACGGAACGGTAGGTAGATGCTCCATGTTCTCAGAACGATTCAGCTTCTCTTTGAGATCCTTCGCGATCGATGTCGAACGATCGCGTCGATCGTTCTTGTGCTTATTCTCTCTCTGTACGTAATATATTTGTCTGTTTAAGAATTTAATGCCTTTCCTCTGTTTTCGGCATCGTCGTTTGTGAATAATCGATGGTCTTAAACTAGTTTACCATATATGAGATAATCGAGATGAACTGTTTGATGGAGTTGACTAATACGGTGTTTATTCGGTAATCGAGTTATCGAGATGAGAGAGGGGATGAGAACGGAGTGACAGAGAGTGAGAGACAGTTCTGGACCGGGAAAGAGAACGGGAGACACGGCTCGTCTCGTAATATCGACGGATTGTCTCGACGTTCGAACGATTGTGGGCTAAAACTACTGCGTTCGCCTATGCGAAGTTAAACGATTTACAACCTCGTTAACAAGAAAGACAATTCTCTAGAGATAGAAGGAAAGAATATATGCGCCGAGCAATGCAAGACTTCCAGACAACACATATATCTCGTAATAATATATCATCGCAACAGTCAGGGCGGACAGAGAGATTGGAGATTTTTTACGACGTATATAACGAAAGCGGCAGCAAGGGTAACAAATCTAACAAATATCGAAAAAACATTCTACTGAGAGATATATTGAATAAATATCTATATATATATATAAATATAAATCTACAACCGAATAAAAAGGTAAACGTACCACTGCTTTCCGCTCAAATAGTAACACGCATACAAAACGGTAGTACTCTCACTACGCGTACGCCCGTTAAACACCATCATCATGCCGCGCGGTTTCGCTTTATGTTAAAGAAAATAATATGTATATACTTTATATTTTTTTCTTTTTACATTTTTTTCTGTTTTATATACTGGATGCTTTTGTGATCGTGTGTTTACGCTTTCTCTGTACCGTTCACTTTGAGATGGGCGCTGTGCCGTGCACTGCCCGCTGGATTATCAGCGACGCAAGCGTACTCCCCGGCGTGATCTCCCCTGACAGCGGGTATCGTCAGGGCCGAGACTCTATCCCCCAACGCGGTGATACCCACTCCGTCGCCTACCTCTAAGTGGCGGCCCTCGAACAACCACTTGAGCGAAATCGGCGTGTCCCCCTTCACGACCGCGCAATGGACGATTATCAGATCGCCGGAGTTGGCCTCGTCGAACGCGAACGGCTGCAGATGTGGAGCGACTGCCGAGAGATAGAGAACGGACAGAGACTAGAGACAAGAGGCAATAATATACCGAAAGAGAGAAAAGAGAGAATGAGAGAAAGACACGCAAGCGAGAATGAATTAGCCCGATCTCTCCGTAACAGCCTGCTCTATGATTTCGCGATTCATCTTCATTATAAGACGGATATTTGAGCGGAAATCGATTTCGATAAAATGTTTCTACGGGAGAAGAAGCTGCTTGATCTAGGATCATGGATGAGGGATAAAAGGATGAGAGAAATCGCTCGGATATATAGGTAGGCTCGCAAGGCTCAACGAAAAATCGAGCAGATCCTTGCTGATCAGTATGCACCGTTCACAATGAGATCGGCCGAGAGCTCGTGCCTGCCGGCAAGGTTTTCCGCGACACATGTGTAAGTTCCAGCGTGGGTCGCCTGGACGGATCCTATGCTCAGTATAGCGCCGCGTCCGCCCAGATCCACGATCGAGATTCCAGAGTGTGGCGAGATCGCATGACCGTTTAAGGTCCAACGGAGCTTCAAGGGTGGATCGCCCTCGACCACTGCGCACGGTACCGTTACTACTTGACCCGAGTTAAGCGGCTCCTCGCCGAAAGCGAATGGTAATAATTTCGGAATGACTGGAAGAAAGAAAAAGAGATCAGAAAGAGGAGAGAAAAGCCGCAGACTAAATCAACGTCGATGAAACAGCGCGATTTAGAGAGAGAGAGAGAGGAAAATCCTACATCTATTATCCTCTCACTTCATTCTTTCTTCGTTTCTTCTTGCTTCTGCTTTGCGATCTTGTATTATGGCGAACGTGTCGTTTTTCTATTGTATTTCTGACGCTGTATGTTTCGCGATGCTAATCAACAAAATTAATATAGAGGACATATATGTATATATGTATGTATATAACCAAGAAGACATTGTCACGTTCAATAATAACATTCGTAAGTGGCTAAAATAATAGCGAATTCTAGAGAACACAGACATACGCCGTGCTATGAGTAAGCGAGGAAACGGATTGCAGAGAAACTTAGAAAAATAATGATGTGACATATAAAAGAATAGAAAATTAAAATGAGATTGAAAGAGAAGATAGAGAAACTTACGAGAAAAAAATATCTAAAGGATGGAAAGGATTATTATCGAAGGAGAAAGATGAGACTAAATATGCAAATCGCGAGCATAGATTTGTCGAAAGGTGTACCATTCACGTCCAAGGTGACCGAATGAGAAACTGATCCAGCCGCGTTTGAAGCAACGCAGGTATATTCTCCAGCGTGTCGCGCAGCTACCGATTCAATGGTCAGTTGTTTGACGCGTTTTCCGCTATCAGACACAATGACGTCGCTATGATAAGATTGTATAGGACGGCCATCGAAGGTCCACGTGATCTCCAGAGGATAATCGCCCTTGGTCACGACGCAATTCACCGAAACCAAGTCCCCGGCGTTTGCGGGCTCCTCGCCGAAGGAGATCGGTGCTATCTGTGGAGAGACTGCGATACGAACGCAAGATAAAGCAAGATTCGAAGAGAATACGAGAACGAGACGTGTTTATTTGCGAAATCGCATAAGACACTTTTAAATATTTTTGGCGTCCAAAATCTAGAAGAATGACGAACGAGCGAGTTTTGTTCGAAATAGTAGTAAAACGTACGTAAGAGCAGACGTAGCAGGAAGAAT